GGGCTTCACGAATGATTTATCGCTCGAGGAGATCACGACGGGGTTCGGGACGAGTCCAGGGAGCTTGAGCAACGGGATGCGGTATGTTATGGCGCAGGACCCGTGGTTGAGCGGGATGAGCGGGCTCGGGGAGATTTTTGAGGGGATGCCTGGTGGATCTGGCCCGCCCATGTTTCCCATGTGAATGAAAACACCGGGAAAGGTGTCGAATCACGGGAACGCACCTCCAGGCAAAAGGCCGCTCCGACGACCAACTGCTTCATGCGCGTACATACGGCGGGAGCGACGGCGTTCATTCACGCTCGGGGTTTGGGATGAACCTGGCAGACGGGCTTTGCCTATCCGGCCGGGGTAATGGAGACACCCTGGGTCCGACGTCGGATTTTGCTTATGCGGCTGTCACTTAGCACCGACCTCCGGGCTCTGCTTCCAGACCCCGTCTCATCCTCACCTCAACTTTCCGACAAGAAGGGGAACGGGAAGGTTCACTCGTTTACGGAACACTCCGAAAGCGATGACAGACACCACGATACCACTGCTGACCGACCCACATCCTTTCTGGCTAAGCTTTCCAGCGACACTTCCAGACCTGCTCGGACTTGGGAAAGTAAAGCAGACACACTCGGAGCCGAAACATCACACAAAGAAGCCCGTCCAAAGAATCTCGACTCGTCTATACAACGCCAACCTTCATCTACATGAAACTGCCGTACTATGGGAAGGCGGAATCTTAGTTTCGGCCGAGGACGGATCCGGGGAACTCTGGGGAAAGAATGAGGAGCAGAGGGAATGTTGGAACACCTCGGGCTCCGCCAGGGGAAAGATGAGAAGTTTAACCTTTCTGACATTCCCCAGGGGGCGGTTTTGGAATAAGTCAGGCACAAGAGGAGGAAAATTGGGGAGCAGGAGTACATGCACTTTGCTCTGACTGGACAAGAGACGAAGTTTGCAGAACCCAGCTTCATCCAAGAGGCTTCATCCATCTCTCTTGGAAGGTGAAAAACCAGTGTCCTGAGGGGATGGGCGGATGGAAACAGAGAGGAATTGGAGTCGAGGGTCGCTCGCTACAGCACAAGTGAGTTTCGGGAGCTCGTGAGTGGAATTGAGTTGTGCTCTCGCAAACCATCCAATTCTACACTCCCACGAAACTCCACCACCCATCTCAGCAATGTCGTTGTGTTTATTATTTTTTTTTGCATGTGCTATTTATACGAGATACCTATGTACGAGGAATAGATGCTTGGGCAGGCGAACAAAAAGGATAGATTTTCTCTCAATTATCATTCACACAACATACATCAACCACCCCACTCGTTACCTACCCACTTCTTCACATGCCAACTACGCCTTGCCTTGACTTACAAATGGAATGCGTTTGGTTGACGATGACTCTCCGTCACCCCCGGATAGGACGGGACCTGCGGTGGACTGCCAACCACGGCTTCACGTGGGGGAATGTGATGACAGAAGCCTCCGTGGAACCAACCCGCCTCCCCGAGTCCACCTGCTGCCCTACGGTGCCTATACGTACGTGCAAATTCGCCGCCCGCTAGTGAGACCTTGCAAGCCTGGTCCCCGGCGAATGGGAACGAGATACCGACCATCCGGAATGGAGGCCCAGTTTAATCCCACGCTGTGTCTTTCGGGGATGCCTTGGCTGCTTACCACCCGTGTCTAACAAGTTTGCTTGCCGCGACCCGACAGGCACACATTCGCATTACATATTATTACTCACCCCTCGTATTTGGCCATGCTTCGTGAGGTCTCACTGAATGATAACATCAAGATTTTAGGTAGGGACCGCGAAACTTTCAATTCGGGTCCGAGCGTGTTTCTCATGGTAGCTAAGCTCGGCGTTCGTCGCCGACCGTTCATCCGCCTCTCGCCCGGGCTGTGTGCCCGCAACTTAACCCCTCTTCCAAGTCCGGCCTGTTGTGAACTCTGTACCTATCGCGGCCGCCTGATAAAACGCAAAATCCATGCTTCCACCCACTTTCAGTCTGTCCGGCCGTCGGTACAAGCCCGTCCTCAACCCAAAGCTATCGCCGCGTGACAGCCAGCGATGTAACGATACCGAAGCCTTTCCCCCTCTCCGTACGCCGGACATGAATCCATGTCGAGATCTTGACACCATCAACATTTCCTGATGGGACGCAAGCAATAGCCAGGCATGTTCTTTTCCGGACCAATCTTATTTTGGAACCCGAAATCTTGCAATTTGCGATTGTCCTCCTCCATATTCCCCATGCCGTTTGTAAACTCCTCGTGAAATTGCAGTTGCATTCCGCTTCCGTGATCAAATGTGAGACAACAGTCTCATGTGCATGTGGTATGGAGCTTCCCCGCTCAGTGTGCAGCCGCAACCGGGCTGCATCACAACCAACCGAACGCCACGTGGGGTTGAGCCGATAGAAAGTGTTCCCCAGCTTAAAAAATAGACAGGGATAAGGACGCTCAGAATCTGTGAAACGCTTGATGATCTTTTGCTCGTTTTCCATATGGCGAAAATCATGTTCTTGTAGTGAAATGCCATCTTTGATGGGGCTTATTACGATGGCATGATGGTCAACATCAGTCGTAGTAGCCGTTCCTGACGTGGGCTTCTCAGTCCATGTAGAAATCGCCCTTGAGAATGCGTTCCTGGAAGGCATCCGGCTTGGGTCGCTCGGGAGCCTTGGGCTTCATAGCAGCCGCCTGGGCGGGAGGAGCAGGCATCTCGGAGACTGATTTCTGACGATCGTGGGCGACGCCATTGCCGGGGCCGCGAGGAGGAGAGGATGAAAGACCAGAGCCGAAAGAAAAGGACGCTCGTGGTCCCTGAACAGAGCTCTCGGCGCGAGATCTAAGCTGCTCGGACCAGTTGAAACCTTGGTCTGGGCGAGAGAACACGTCAGAAGATGATCTTTGCTTGTGTGCAATGCTTGCCTGTACAGTGCTGCTAGATCGACGCCTGGCCGACGACAGAGCAGCAGCGATGGACGAAGTATTGGTCGGTGGCGTGGAACTCGCAACCGAACCAAGACCTCGTGGAGAGTGCACACTGCCACGTCTGTCGAGGGCAGCAGGAGTGCTAGGCACGGGAGTGGCAGAAGCAGAGGGTAAATCATTACCGTTTGAACCCGGACTTCCACCGCCATTGCGCATGGTGCGCATTGCCTGAGCTCCGAAGCTCATTCTGCGGGTGAAGGGAGTGGTAGGTGCTGTGCGGGCGTTGGGGGGAATCTCCTCCTCGTCGATTGCATTCTCATCGATGGAGTCGTTGGAGTTGGTCGAAAGACTTCCCCGTCGGAGAGAGTTGAAAGCACTGGCACCAGTGGGCGAAGTTCCAGTGAGGCCGAGACCGGTGGTGACGGAGAGTCTCCGTCTCTGAGCATCGCTGGTGCCAGGGAATGCACCGCCGTTGGAGGTGGAGTTGCTTCTGAAGAGACCAGCGATAGCCTGCTGGGTGACTGATCCACGTCTCTGGCGATGCATTTCGTTCGGGTTGTTCTGAGTGTTCTGGTTGGAGTTGGAGTTGTCGTTGGACATGATGGGCAAAAGAGATAGTAAGGAACGAATTGGGGGCTGTAGTATATGTAGTCGGGGATATCGGTATGTCGTGCGTCGGGTTGTTGTATGCGTTTAGGTAGTCAGAGGGTAGTCCAAGTTGTGTTTCGGAGGTGCGTCTTGCGTGGGGTGAGATCTAGAAAGAATCGAAAGAGGGATCGAACGGAGAATCGTTCGACAGGTGCGGATGTGTGGAACAGGGTGGTTATATATCGAGGTGGCCGATGGACTGATTTGGGGTGACACTAGGGGCGGGTTACAAAAGGTTGATCACAAGGGAAGGGCCAGGGATGGGATGAGCGTACCTCTGTAGTGCGCCGTGGAAAGGTGTCGATCAAGGGGTTTGCTGGCCTGGCGAGAGTCAGAAAGAGAGACTTATTCCGTCTTTGTGCTTCGTTTGTGCGTTTGTGCTGGGGGATCGACGAGGGAAGCGTCCCCTCTAAGCGGCGCTTCCTGCACAAGCAGCAAAGCGGGTTGAAGCTCTAAATTGAGTGACGTCGAAGCTTAGGGGGCAGGTCTTGGATCAGTGGCAGCACCCTAGGACGGGCCAGGTAGCAGGGGCAGAGAGTCAGGGAGGACCAGATTGGCAGAGTAAACGGGCTAGAGGGGGATGGCTGGTTGTTCTCACTGTTCTGTAGTGGTTTGGGAAAAACGGTGGTGTGTGCTTGCGTGCGTGTGTGCTTGGTAGTGTCGAGGTGCTTGGTTGCCGGGGGTGGGCTGCTGGCTGGTCGGCGGTTGCTGGTTGTTGAGCGGATGGCGTGGGTCTGCTTGCTCAGCCAGGACAGGCAAATGGTGGTGGGATGGCGGTGCGTGTGGGGAAGAGGCGAATGCGGTGTCGGATGGTCGGTCGGTCGGCGTGCGTTTGAGGGGCCGATAATAGCTTCTTGGGTTCCAAACTCGATCTTAAGATAGGGGCCAAGGATTGGCCAGTCGCCAGGCTGGAATGCTTGACAAGCACACAAGCTGCTATCTCTGTGGTGCCGTGATGAATGTGTTTTATGGCTCTGTGTGGATAGAAGTGAGTTTCTGATGGGTTGCTGATGTATTGCAGTCGTGTCGTATCCGTAGTTTCGTAGAAGGGTAAAGGAGGGCAGCCAGGCAGATGAAAGAGGTTCGATGTCAACGCAAAGATCGTGATGTTGATGGAGAAGGGTTCCAGTGTGCGTCTGCCAAGTTGAATGGCATTGAGAAGACTGGAGATCAGAGGAGGCTTGTTTGATGGAGCCGCGGAAGGAACGCAGTTTACCACTTGCTCCTTCCATTGCGGCATCTGCTCCTGCCTGTCTATTCGTTCCTTCTCTCGCCCTCGCTCTCGTTCTTGCCGTTCGTACCATTCCTTGCCCTTGCAACACCAACGGCACCTGCACCTGCCTGCACCTCTGACCTGCACTGGTTGACTGGATAATGGTGGAATCGTGGAGGGAAGGAGCCACCACGAACCTTTGGAGCCAGAGATGGCCTGGAAGACCCAAAATGCCAAGTTCAGCATGGAAGATTGGCGCGGAGGCTACGGCAGCTCCCACACCCTCAGGGCCTTCCTCATCCACGATACCACAACCCCGGCTGCCTACCCAGCGCAAGCTCACAGACACACCACCCAATCATGGAAGGCATGGCCTCAGCGTTGCTTCCAGCAAAGACACTTTGGCGGCATTGCGCGGTACGTACCCGCCTTAGCGCAGTCTCTAGTGCTGGACGTGCTGGACTGGCGCTCGCAGCCACTAGACGGCCGGGTTCTGAACCAGCCAGACCCCCGCTTGTCGACGTCACCCAATCGAATGATTTGCGGGGTAATCAAACCAGCCGCCAGAGGTGGGAAAGAGCGACGGGACGTTTGACTCTCACCTGCACCTGCACCTGCGCACTTGCACTTTTGACTTCCATTGCACTTGCGAGTTGCACCTGTCTCTGACTGCTGTGGAAGTCACGCCGGTCGTTCGTACTCTCCCACTCTTCGTACCCTGTACCATCCACACAGATGGTAGGAAGGAGCTGGGCTGCAGATGGAAGGATTTTAGCAAGGACTCAACACGGGAAAGAAGGGGTCCTCTTCACGTTCTCCGGGTCTCTGTTTCTCTGTCTCTGTTTGACTGCTTATGTCTCTCCCACCTGTCTCTGTCCCGGTCACTCAATTCGTTAGGTGTGCTGATCTTTTTGGGACGCATTGGGCTGTAATTATCCCATCGTTTCCTATCTGCATTTCCTGTCTTGCTTTTTGCCATCTTTGCACATCTTCTAGGGACTCCTCTCTTCCTCCTGCGTGTCCTCCCCCTTGCCCCCTCCCCTCCCCCCTCGGTCTTGCATCAGAACCGACCATCTGCGGTACGTACCCCACCACCCTTTCAACGCCCATTCAGCACCGGAACCACCACCGGGACCACCACCACAATCACTGCCAGACACCTGTGACTGCAAAGATTCCCACACAACTCGCATCTGCAGACTCAGAGACATTCATCCACCTCGCCCGCAGTTCACCACGCATACGGTTGCACTCAGCGTATACCAAGCTCAATGCAGTCTACCTTCTGGACCACCAAGCACACACGCGGACAATAGACAGACGTCCCATCTCGCGTGCCATCGCATGCTTGCTCTCGCCACTTTGGGCCGTCTATTGACCACCATGGGCCCATCCGCAGGCACCATCATCTGCCCATGTTTCTGCCACCTCAAACATCTCGAGCTTCGAAAAACGAACTCTGACTTCAGACCAGACGGGAAAGGCTAAGAGCTGGCTGCATCGTCTCCAGCATGTACAAGTACCAAACTTTTGTCAGCGGGAGCCATACTCGTTCAGACTACCAACCTTGATCACAGACCTGTTGTTACTCGACAAGCTCAAAGCCTATATTCTCCTCCTCTGAACCCAAGACCAAGACCCTGGAGGTCTAGGCTGCTTTGGAAGCCTTCCGATGCAAAAGTGCCAAAGACGGTCACATCGAAATTCCCAATTCCCTCCTCTTCCGACCACATTTTCAACCCGTAGTACCTACGCTCGTGTCTCTTCGACCAACACGAGCAGCTGTCGTGTCACCATCCGGTCCTCCATCAGTCACGTTTGGTGTGTTGTACGTAGACTATTGGCAACCAGGCTACCTTAGCTCGACATGCCGGAATTCGACGCCTCCTCCTTCTATCTTTGACTGCGTCCACTTGGCATGCAGACGGGCCCTAGCAAGTACTGCCCCGGATAGACAAACCATCCGTGAGCGACTTGCACACTGCTTCAATTGCCCTCCGCCGCTTGGACCAGGATGCATTTCAGGCGGCACGCAGGATCTCAGCGACGAGAGATTGGCGAAGCAGCCTGGTCTCTCAGCCGCTGGAGACAGGGACGTGGGCAGTGGGGGTTGGTTGGATGGCGGACAGTATCCAACTCCGTACCTTACGGATACAATGTCTTCTTCAACTCGTTGGTGCACCACACCCGGCTACTCGAGTCAATAAAGTGGCCGAAGCAACGAAGCAAAGAGGGGAACATGTTTCTTTCGACGCAACTTCACGACTCGCTACATCCTCTGTCTATGCACGCCTGTATCCCACGTCGAAACTCGAAGAAGAACTCTAGCACCGCACCTGTTATATCGTGGCACACATATTGGAACGTTTATCTTCTCTTTCTTCTATTGATGCTCTACCTAGATCCCACCCCTCCCGAACCCGTCATCCCTTCCCAAGCCAACCAGAACACCGCCGACCTCCCCGAACCCTGGTTTGACCAACCCCTCTGTTCAACACTTCCCCAGACTATCCACATCCGCAGCTCCCTTCCTGACTCGTTCCTGGGATTCCCATCCGTCTTCGTCTTCAACAACGATTGACTTGGTCTGCTTCCCCGCAAATTCCGGGTCTCAGCACCAGCGGGCCCCATTTCGCACGCGGATTTGGTCCTTGGCCAGATAGATCCCCGGCCTGCCAGATTAGCCCTCCCGCTAGCAACAGGACAACCGTGAACCGTGAACCGTTCTCTGGCCACGCAGCTGGCTTATCTTGGCAGCCAGTCCATCCTGTGTCAGCCTGCCCGGATTTTGCAACCGTCCCACGAGCCATGCGTCGTGTTGTGTCACGAGAAAGCTTAATGGTGAGAGGCTTGCTCCATTGGTGATGGCTACGTTGATCAAGGTCCAACATTTCTTTTGCCAGATAACACAGCACCGGCCACAGATTTCATTGCCACCTCTTCCGCTTGTTCGCTGCGCCAAAGCACCTGGCAAGCTACCACTGCAGGTCGCTTCCCGGAGGTCCGGCTCCGCGCCGCGGTAGTGTGAAGCTCCTGGTGGACCCTGAACTCGCGGCACAGCATCTCAACCAGCCAGCAACATGTGCAACAACGGTCATGCGCCCGCATCTTCTCCAATTCCTGTAAGTTCTGTTACCCCGCCTTGTTTGAATCAAACTCCGAGGTGGTGGGCAAGAGTTCACTCGCAGGCCAATCTCGATGCTCTCTTATCTCTTGCTCAATTCGGGCTTCCCTGTCAGTAAGCATGGACTAGTGATGAGGGGTGACGAAATGATTGTCACCGAGGGTGATGTCAAGCGGTTGCGTAACCTCGCTAGGCTGTCAAGGAAAATGAGACCACAGAGATTGCCCAATCGTTACCGTGTGCGAGGGCATTAGTTCCCTCGAAGGAGGCCGCTGTCTCTGTTGTTTTTCGTCAGGGGGCCTAGCTGAAGTACCTACACAGTAAGTTGAGACTAGGCTATGGCAGGGTTGCAACACATCCAGATGCCAGTTAGTCAAGCCAACTCTATTTCAATGGCGTTGGACAGATGAACTCGCTCTACAAAGGGGAGTCAACATTAATTTGAATTGATTTATTGGTTCCTTGAGTCTGGATACCCATTGCAAGGGCAAAGGGTTGACCAGTGAGCAAATGATAACGATGGTGAATTGTTTAACGCCAGATCCCTCTGAAAAAGGGTAAATGGCGCCTAGGTTCGCTACTAGAAACTGTTGACTATAGTATACCACATATATAGAAATATAGATATAGATATATGTGAATGAAAATAAAACAGTATCCTTCTTTCCAAACCTCATTCTCACTTAATTTTGGATAGAACAATGGAGTAAAATCGATATTACGAGTGGGAAGTAGGCGGTAATTCCATACTTCCGGACCATGGTAGGTCGAGAGTCTGAGATAACCCGTCAAGATAGAACGGTGAGATGGCATCCTTGTTGGCCAGTAAGCAGGGTATGGCTGTGGCACTGCGGTAGTAAGCTCACTGACTGAAGGAAATTTGTGATAAGTATATTGAGGAATAGAAAATCAGTTCCAAGTATCCATCTGCCAACCCGCCCACCCGTCCTTTCACTCGCCAAGTATCTCTCTCCCTACATGTACGATTCTCCTGGCCTCCAGGGCTGAAGAATATTCGCTCACAGATCACTCTCCCGCGCCATGATGTCCTTCATTGCTGCCAGCCTATCACCCTTGATCTGAGCTATCTCCTCAGCCTCCGCCTTTTGCAACTGGGTCATGTACTTTGTGAAAGCATTCCCGAGGTTGATGACCTTGTTGAAATGACTCGCGTTTGGCGAAACGCCCTCGTTCTCGGCCAGTGCCAGCGCGCTCCTGATGCAATTGCGGATCTGGCGGCCGTTGAGAGGTTGCGAGGCCCAAGATTTGGTGACTTCCGTTCCCAACGCCTTGCACTCGTCGCGTGATAACAGAGGTGGCGAGCCATCGCGACGCTCGCGGCCAAGATCTTGGATGAAGATTTTCCAGACGCCCCTTCGAAGGGTCTCATCAAATTCTGGCATGCCGATTGTTATGTGAATCCTGGACTGGAAGGCTTGGTCGAAGGCGCCGACGCGGTTGCTGGTGAGAAACATGATGCCGTTGAAGTATTCTAGAGTCCGTAAAAAGACTTCGTTTCTGGTTAGGAACCTTTTCAAGCTACCATGTATTCAAGTAGCAGATGTACTCAAGACTTACTAGAGACCAGTGCATTCCTGTGTAAGTTGTCATAGTCCCGGTCCTGTAGAAAGATGTCTGCTTCGTCTAAGAGCAGTATAGCGTCCCATGCCACAGCATGATCGAAAATTGTCGACAACTTCGCCTCGAGTGTATCGGGGTTTGTTCCTAGGTCTCCAGCAGTCACCATGTAAAGCGGTTTCTTGAATGACTCTGCAACACATTCTTGGTACGTAATGTTAGAATCAAGTTTTGATTCTGTTTGCGTCATAAGAAAATCTTACCTGCAGTCAGGGTTTTGCCGACGCCTGGTGGCCCATGGAGCAAAACAACTAAGCCTTCACCCTTGCCATCAACGAGGTCATGAAATCCCGTGTTGTGGTTGAGATATGACTTGACCATGGCCCAAACGACATCTTTATATTCCGTTTTTAGGACGAGTCGCTTCCAGGTATCTGCTACGAACTGCACGGGCTTGAGATCCCTCACGTTGTACGAATCTTTCTATCAATCAGCTCTCTCAAAACAGTGATACGGTGCGTTCGGATACCTACCCCATGTTTTTTTCCGGAGGCTGAAAGCTGATACAATGCGAGGGCACAACATAAGAGCCAATGTATCGGGCTCACTGCTTGCGGGAATGCTTTCGTATTCACGAAACCAGTTCTTCGGCTTTGTTTCAGCTTCAAAATAGCCGACCTGTCGTGGTGATTCTGTTGGTGGCGGCGGCGGTATTCGCTCTGTTGGCAGTATTGACCCTATTGGCATAGGTATAGGCATGGTTGGGCCACTCAAATCGACGAATCCATCGTGACCTGTTCCATGAAACGCACGGGGGGCGGGTTGCTGCAACCCCCCGCCACCCGAACGACCTGGAACCGAATGCCGAATCTCCTTCATTGCACTCTTGGCCTTGGCATCTACAATCACTCTAAGTCCAGAGAGCCAGTCTTGGCCCTGCTTCGAGGAGGTCTTAAGTTGTCGATATCTAGATTTCGTATTCATATCCCAAAAGTTTCGGCCTCGATAGATCAAAAGTGCCTTGACGACACCGAGATCCTCCACGAATTTTTCAGGGAGATAACGGAGTTTTGCAATCTCGATTCCGCCCTGAAAAGGTTGAACTTGAATCATCATACTTTCTTTCTTGAAGGCGTCATCCTGGGGGTCATATTCTAGTGTCCAACACCGTAGAAACAGTTGCATTCGGCTCTGCGTCGATGTCTTGCCGACGGGTTCCATTTCTAGGGTCGGAAAGTCTACCATGTAACAAACCGTATCTGGTCCGTCGATTCTCTCGAAAATGGTCTGGCCCGGTTTGTAAAGCATCCACAGATCGTCGTATTGTATCAGGGTACTAGGACTCGCCGATTCCAATGCCTTGATTCTTAACCGTGTTTCACAAGCGTTCTCATCGAGAAACGTCAGTATTGCTCTTGCAATTCCAATATTCTGTGTTGAGGTTGTCCCGTTGCTCTCGGTGGGAGTCACTACTATGGGGGTCGATGCCACTCTTTCAAGGGCTTCTAAGCGTAGAAACAGCGGGACGAAAGGCCTGGAAAATCTCGATCCTCGGGGTGTTATGGTCCTACGATAGGGAAGTGGTTCAAGATGTTCCATGAAATCATCAAACCCCCCCCACTCGATATCAATGCTATGCTTCTGGACATCATTCACTTCGTCTATGTCGTGAGCGAAGATGACACGTGGCATGAGGTTCTCGTGCATACGCTTCTCGATTGTCGAACGAATGCCAGCTCGCCTGATCGTTCGGTACTCTCCTCTCCGGTTTCGGTAGGATTGAACGGTCAGTCGTCTAACGTCCACGCCAAACTAGGAGTTGTGAGAGATGTTTCTCATTAACCGCACTAGGTAATATTCTACTCACTTCATTTATATTCCGCGGAAAAGTAGGACGATCGCCAGAAGCGCTGTCATCGTCTGGGCTCCGTTCATAGTTGCCTTCTGGATAGCGAGGTGGAGTAACTGGGTATGAATGGAAGTGTCAGCTTTGCTGGGCCAAGGATAATGGCTGGTACCTACGGTCAGAACGATTTGGGGCTGATTCGCTTGAGTAGTACTCTGATGATTTTTCGGATTCAGTATCCGATGCACCATCTTGTATCTCACTCATGATAGCGCTGAAGCTTGATGTTTGTAAAACGAAAGTGACTGACGCCTTAAGGTATGTTGAGAAGAGGCAGTGAATCGCGTGTATTAGCTTCTTGATCGCAAAGACTCTCAAATTTCAGCCAAAGTGCAGGGAAACTTAGGTGCGGGATTCGTGGAGTCTAGATGGCTGGAGAAATTGGGGCCTTGCCTAGAAGCATCGGTATGAGTGGTCTGAGACTGCCTTCCTACTGCTGGCTTACAAGACAAGAACTTAGAGATGGCTGTTTGGTCTGTTGGGAAGTTCTAATTTAGCGCTTTTCTTCTTGCACCACTGTGGACATGTCCGATCGCTTTCACAGCGCCAGGTGGCCTGCATCTTCCATCGTATGATATTTGCCTACTCGAAGACACCCTCTCAGGCAAATTCGACACCCTCTCAGGCAAAATCTCCACCATGCATCTTGTTGTGCGCCTCAAGGGCTTATCAGTCCAGTGAGGTGCTTTGAAAATGTCACAGGGTACAGTTATTGCCTGCTCCTTCCCAAGAAAACTTCGCCGGCGTGGCTTACGCTTCGTCCTTGTCGTCCTCGGTGTTCTCATTGGCCAGCTTCATGCGTGAATGTTATGCAGGCGGCAAATATTCGCTGCGCCGATACGTCGCACAGCATTTGCAGTTTCGTCTGCGCATACTCTTGCAGATATGCCTCGATAATACGTTGACACGTCAGCGGTTTGGACCTGGGCATTTCTGCAAAGCGGGAGGCAGCAACATTTGTGGCTCATCACGGCCTGTCGACGGAACGGCTGGTTAATCCAGACATCACTACCTTGCTGTTTGGTGGCATCAAATAAATCCGTTCATGATTTCGCCAACCTATTACTTATCTTTATAAGGATAGGAAACACTCCACGGTGATTGTTGGTATCCCTATTACAGGGTAGTTAGTTCGAACCGTGGGTTAACGAAGAGATTAATTAAACTATATAAATTTCTATATAAATATAAAAAGGAGGTTCTAACTATAGGTTAGGTTAGTTATAATAATTATAAATAAGGCCCCTAATTAGCCCCTATATAGTTAGTTATATACTATAATTAAATTAGACTTCTAATCTAATACTAACTTTTTTTTTTTATTAATTTACTTATTATAATTAGAGGTATAATTTAACTTTAGGCCCGTTTATTAAGTCGTCTCTTTTTTCTTTTTTTCTTTACTCTTTTTATATAACTTATCCCTCTATTTATATAATAACTTTTTTATTACTTATAAATTACTTTAGCCCCTTATTAAGTACTATTTTTATAAAAGTATTAGTAAGGTTATTATTATTATTAATTTAATAAATCTTAAGGATCTCGTACTTTTTATATAATTACTTAAGGGCTATAATATTAATTATAAACCTTTTTTTTTTATCGTTCCTAATTTAATAAAGTATTTATATAATAAATAAGAATTAGTATAAATAATTATTAAAATTAATAAAAGGTTAAGTTAATTAATAATCCTTTTTAATATTATTAAAATCGTATAAGTAAAGTTAATACTATTAATTATATTATAAACTTCTAATACTAATATACTTCTTATTACTTACTTATTTTTAGTTAATAAGTAATAAATTATATTATTGTATATAATAAATTTATTTTTATTTATATTCTTATTAACTAGGATAATAATATATCCTAATTATAAAATAAGGTCGTTATTATTTATAAATAACTTATTAATAAAAATATAGAGCTTATTAATAATAAAGTTAATTAGATAATAAACGAGGCCTTAATTAAAATTTACTTATTATTACTTAAGCTATTTATTAAGTACTTTTATATCTTATTTACTTAGCTCTATAGCCTATACTACTCTTATATAATTAAAAATTACCTCGGGCTAATAAATATTTATAATATATACTCCCTATACGAGCTTAATTTTATATTACTTCTTAACGTTAATTACGTTTAGGTTAATAAAAATAATTTTCTTACTCTACCCCTTTTATTAAAAAATAACGGTTTTCTTTTTAATTATAAAAATCCTATTATTAAATATTAATAAGTTATTTATTATAAAGACCTCTTTTAGCTTAGTTACGAAGCCCGCTTTTTAGAGCTCCTTATCCTCTTTTTTTATAAAATTAATATTAAATAGGCCTAATATATTATTAATTTATATTTTAATAATCCTAAATTAGTTATTTTTATATTTAAAAACTAATAAGTACGGGTTATATATAAATATAATTATTAATAATTAATTAATATAAAAATTATAATATATAGCTTATTAATAAGTACCTAATTCTATAAGTCTATATAATAGTTTAAGTACTTTAATAATCGTACTTTTTAAGTACTTATTAATTATTTTTTTTAATAAGTAGGCTAGGATTTTTTTTATAAGCCCTATAACTAATTAAGTATAGGCCTAAGTAATATTATAGCTCTAAATCTTATATCCCTTTTTTTATAATAATATTATTAGTATTATTATTAATTACTAACTATAGTACTATACTATAAATAATTATATAAGTAGCGTCGCTTTTTTAATATTACCGTATTTCTAAATTATATACCTAGATTTCTTATATAGTTAGGGTATTCTTTTCTTCTTAATTTTATATACTATTCGTAATTTAAATATATAAAAACCTTTATATTTCTTAGGGTTATAAAGGATAAATTAATAGACCCCTCGATTATATAAAGTATTTATTTTAATAAGATCTAATTTCTTATATAGCTTTTTAATAGTTATAATAATACCTTTTTTATATAATTTAATTATTAGTTCGTAATTAGCTTTCTTTTTTATTATATAAAAAGTATTAAATACCTCGTTATTAATAATAAATTATTATATTAGGGCTTATTATTATAGTCTTCTACACCGTTTTACTAATAATATTAGTACCCTTTTAGTAATTTCCTTTTCTTTATTATTTATTAATACTATTATAATAATTTTATTAAAAATAATTTCCTATACCTTTACTATAGGTTATACTATTTCTCTTCGCTCTTTTTCTTTTTATAAATTAAAAATTACTTTAATAAGATCTATATAATATAATCTAACTATAGTAATTAATACTTTAAGTAACTAGTTATAATCTCTTATAATTACGTAAGACTACTCGTTAATAAAAATTAATTTATATAATCTAGCCTACTACTAAGTAATTTTGTACTAAACTCGTATATTTAAATTTAAAAATATATTTAAATTAGCCCCTATATTAGAACTATTATATATAATAATTACCTTATTAACTTATTTTTTTATACTTACCTCGCGTAGCGTTTATATTATTTTTTTAATTACTTAGGCTTATTAGCTTATATTTAGTAATAATAATAAGGCTAAGGTCGTTTTTAAATATATTTTAAATACTAATAATATTAGTATAAGCTTATTAAGCCCTATAATATTATTATAATACTTAAGTACCGTTTAGAAATATTCGTTATTAATAGAATCGGGATTTTCTTTTTTAATAATTCTAAACGCCCTTTTTAATTATTAATATACCCTTTTTATTTTTTTAATACTATAGTACGCTTTTACGGGCACGACTTTTAGCTATATATTATAGGCTGTTATATTTTTTTTAAATTCTATTAACTTAAAACTCGTATTAATATTAGTTTTAATACTATTTAACGGTCCTTAGTATATATTAATCTAGCTTTTTTATAGGGCTACTTATACTATTTTTATTTATAAATCCTAAAAGAATTATCTTATTTAAAATAATATAGCCTCGTTAATTATATATAAAACTAGTTAACTATTTAAATAGAAAATATTAATAACGATTTCCTAATTAAAATTAAGCTTATTACGTAATTTAAATTTAAATTTATATAAGCTCTACGTATTTATTTAGTATTAATAGTACACTTTTATTAACTATTTTAGTACCCCTATTTTAATATTATTATTACTTAATTACTTTAGGAGGCTATATAGCCTCGTAATTAATAAGTACCTAAATTTCTAATATAATTATTTTAACTTATTTTTTATTAAATAATTAATTAACTTTATATTATTAATAAGCTTTATAAATATATACCCCTATCGTTATTTAACTATTTTAAAATACTTATTACTAAAAATTCTATTTTTTATATTATTAAAAATAATACTTAGTCGATCTATATTTTTTAAATATAAGAGAAATAAGGTATTAATAAGTAGAATATAAAAAGTTATTATTTTAAAATACGTTTTTATTTTTACTATACTTAAAATAATAATTTCTTTACCTAGGTTAAAGCTAATTCTTATAATACTTATTATTAATATATTAAGTATTACTAATACGATTTTTTATAATACTTAGAATTACTCCTTTCTTTTTATTAACTATTATAATACTCCTATATTTAGGATAATCTTATAGAAATTATCTAAGCCGTACTTTTCGCTTATATAAAATACTTATATAAGCTTAGTATTTAAGTAATCTAAGTAATATAAAAAGGACCTTTTTAATTATTTTTAGAATTACTTAGTACTATCTTTTTTTTTTAATATTAATAGAGGTAATATCTTCTCTTTAAATATTAAAAAAATAGAATTCTATATTATTAAATTCGTCCTTTTATCTACCTCTATATCTACTATTTAAGGGACTTTCCCTTATTATTTATAAAAAAAAAGCCTATTTATTAAGGGCTTTTATTACTTTTTATTTATTTAGCTTTATATATCCTCTAAAAGTTAATAATATAAAAAAGGAGTAGTTAATATTATTAATTTTATTATAATTTAATTCGTTAATATAAGGGGTAAGATCCTTTTTATTTTCTAAATTTTTTATAAAAAATAAATACTCTAGGCCGCTACTATAACTACTATTACTAAGTTCCGTACCCCTAAATCTACTTTTATATATAATAAAGAATTAATTAAATTAACGAGGGCTAGTTTTACTATTTATTATCCTTAACTTTTTATATTATTTATATAATTTAGTATACTCTTTTTTAAAATAATTACTTAACTAATATTTATCCTTTTTATAAATAAAATATTACTTTTTTTATTACTTTATTTATAAATTAAATCTTTATCTATTTAACAAATTTAGGCCTCCTTATTAATAATTACTATACCTAATCTTTTTTTTCTTTTATTATATATTTAGTCGATTTAATATTATTAATAAGGGCCGTTATATACTTAAAAGTAGGTTTAGTATAGTATTTTTATTTTAATATTAAAACTAGATCTTAGCTTTAAATAGAGCGTTTTATAATTTTTAAGTACTTAATATAAGGTTATTTTTATTTTTAATACGTATTAAATTATAATATAAAAATATTTAACTTTTTACTCGTTAGTTCCCTTATTTAGCTAAGTTTTTACTAACTTATTAATTTAATTAATAAGCTCTTTAAAGATTTTTATTCGTAATTTACCCTCTATTATCTTAGTTATAAATATAAAAAAAATTATTTATAGTTTAAATAAGAGCTTTAAATTCTTATTATAAGTTTCGAAACGGCTTTAAATTACGTTAATAATACTAAAAAAATCGTTCTAATTAAAATTACGTACTACTTCATAATAATAATTAAAGGCTTTATTTACGAGTATAATATTAATTACTAAATAATACTAATATTCCCTAATCCCAACTTTTTTATAATAATTATAAAATATCGTTAAGGTTTTTTATAAAACCTCGTACTTCTCCCTAGAATATAATTTTCTTTTAAAAAAATCTTTTTAAAGTCTATAAATTACTTTATATTTATTACTATATTTTTAATATTTATATATAATCTTTATATTATTACGTATTATTAATAACTTTAAGTTATTTATCTCCTTTTTTATTAACTAATTAGTACTAAATTTCGTATTAATAATAATAACGAGCTATAAATTAAAATAAGTAGAATTATTAATTATTATATATTTAGTATTATATTTTATTTTTATATATCCTTTTATAATAATAAATTATTATTAATAATTATAAAAAAAAAATCTAAGTCGTTTATTCTTTTTTTAAATTCGTTAAAATAATTTTATACTTTATTAACTTATACCTAGTTTTATAATACGAATTCCTTTTTTATAATTGTTATTATTAAAATTTTATATAGCTCTCGTAATTATAATTACGTTAATAATACCCCTTATTTATAAAGGAATTTATTAATTACTTTCGTAATTCCTAAGCTTATATTTATAAACTATTTATTTAGTTAATAATTAAGGTCGTTTATAAGTTTATAAAATAGGGATTACCCTTATAGCCCCTTTTTCTTATAAACCTTAGTTAAATAGATTAATATTATATTAATTTACTTATTATTAAACTAATTTATAATCTTATATATCTACGTCCCTTAATAATTTAAATTAATATTTATTTATTTATAAAGAATTAGGATTCTATTTAAAATCGGGTTTTTTCTTCTTTTTTTTACCTTAACTTACTAAGGGTCGTACTCTAACTTATACTTATATTAATAATTACTAATATATTTAATTTTAATAAGAATATATTTAATTTACGCGCTAGCTATAATAAATTCGTACTTTTATTACTTAACGAATTTATTAAAATCTAAATAATTCTTATTTTTTCTTATTATCTTATTATTATTCTTATTTTTACTATTTTTAATAATTATTATTACCTTTTTAAATTACTAACTATTATACTTACTAAAATCCTCTTTTTTATTTAATATAAAAAAGTAAGTTTTAATAATTCCTTTTTTAATAGTAATAGTAAACGTTTATATTATTATAAAAAAATATAATAATTAATCTTAGGATTTTTATTAATTACCGATTTTTATTATTTTATATATTTCTAACTTCTTAAGCCTCGTATCTTTTATTATTTTTAAATTACTTTTTTTTTAACCTACTTTCTTTAAAGTAATATTCTAAAAGAATAGTTAAAAATAAATACTAAATAGCTCGTAAAAAAGCTAAATAGGCTATTAAAAGCTAAATAAGTAATTAAATATAATTAATAAAATTAAGCCCTCCTTTTTATAAAATCGTAGGTCTAAAGGACTTATTAAAAATACTTATTACTTCGTTACTTATATTAAATAGGGTTAATTACTTTAAAAATCTTTTCTTTTATAGCTTTTTAATACCCTATTTTATATTTTTTAAATAGTTTTTTTTATAACTTAATTATTATTAAGTAATTATTACTTACTAATAATTCCTTTTATTACTTAGTTAATTTCTTAAAATTAATAATTTCGTACTAAGAGCTAATATAAAAAAAAAGTTCTTTAATAACCCTCTAAAAAAAATTTTTTTCCCTTTAAATCCTCGTTTTTTTAGCTTTTTTTTAGGTTAATTATAACTTTAATAAGAGGTTATAAAACTACTTTAAGGTAACTACTTTTTTTTTAAGTTAATTTTTAAAATTTATAATACTCTTAGCTCGATATTATTAAAACTTTTAAATCCCCTCTTTTTTTATAAAACCGTTCTTTATATTATATTCTTAAGTAATACTTAGGGAGTAGTTAAGGGAGTTATAAAAAGGTTATTTAAATCGTAAGCTTATAGTTATATTTATAAAATCTTTATAATAATAGACCTTTTTATATATTATAAATTTCTTAGCTTTATAACTCTTATAAAGTTACCTTTATTACTAAATAAAAATATTTATATTTAAAAATCCTTTGTTTTAATTATATAGTATTTTTTTATATTATATTATTAAGCTTATTTATTATACTAATTAATTAAGTAAGTAGTTACTACATAGGTATTTCTTTTTACTAATTTAACTAATTAATTTTTAATTATAAGCCGGCTATAAAAAAGTTATTTAATAAAAAAGCTATTTAAAATAATAATAAAAAACTATTTATTTAAGTAGTTCTATTAATTAATATAGTTTAATATAATAAATATCGACCTCTCATAAATAATAAAAAGCTACAATTATTTAATTTTATATAATATTTAAAAATTGCCTCTTTTTTTATTTATTTTTATAAAATTAATTAATATAAATCTCCTATTTTATATAGTATTAAGAGGTCGTCTTTTTTACGTAATAAAATACCTTATTAATTTATAATAATAAAATTTAACTACTAATTAATATTAATATCCCTATTATAAAGTAGTTAGTTTAAACTATTATTACGACCCAATACGTATAATAAGGCTAGGGCCTCGCCCTATAAGACCTATAGTAGCTACTATACTATATATATAAAAATACGGACTTAGGGTAACTCCTCTCGGGATAAAAAAATTATAAATAAATTATATAACTATAATTATATAATAAAATAAAAAACGGACGCCTATAAATAAATAAGATAAATAATTATAAATAAGTAAAACGGATAACTATTTAGTAAATAGTTAAATAATAATAAATAAGAATATTATAAAAAATATATTTAAAAACGAAACTTATATATAATATAAACTTAAGCCGGGTTTAAAAATAGACTTTTTATAGCTTTTTTAATAATTAACTTAGTATTAAATTTTATAATTATTTTTAACTATTTTTATTAAGAACCCTTTTAAAAAAACTATAATTAATTACTAAAGCTTTACTTATTTTATAACTTATAAATATAGTTTTAGGGAAGCTATTTATAATTATAATACTATTTACTTAGTACTTATAGCCTTAACTTTTATTAATATACTTATTATAATTAGCTAATTATAATATTTTAATTACTCTTATTTAATAAGTTAACCTTACGAAACTTACTAAATAATAAAACGAACGATAATATTTTCTAAAACCCTAAGTACCCCTTTATTTAATTTTAAATAACCCGTTAACTTAGTTAGCGAGCTAGTTAAGGTTAAAGATAATAAAATACTTAATATTACTTATAACTTTAATAACGACGTAGTTTTTAAAAAAATAGATTATAAAAAAATATAATATATTATTAAAAAAAATAATAAGTAGAATAAAGAACTTATAGAGCTCTTTAATAATAACTCTACTTAAATAGCTATAACTTTAGCTAAGAATAATAAAAATATTATTATTTTTTAAAATATAGTTAATAAAGCTATAATTAACCTAGGAATTAAAAAAAAAAAATAATTTAGAATAAGAAGTTAGAACCCTCCGAGCTATTATTAATATTATTAAAATTCTTATAAATAAATAAAAAAAACTTAAGCTTAATATACCTATTATTTTTAATAGAATTACTAAACGTTTTAAAGGATTTTTAATTTAAATTAGAACTTATTAAACGTTTTATATTACTAATTTCTATAATAAAACTAAGCGAGTTATTTACGTAGCGACCTTTTTTAAAAAACGAGCTTTAAAATAGTTCGAACCCTTTTAAAAAAAGTTCTTTAATAATAATAGTTATTTACTATATTATAAAAAAGAAATTATAAACATTTTTAATAATATAATAAGATTTTAAAGCGCCCTTAAATTCTTATTCTAAGATTTTAATAAAAAGTAATAAACTAAAAAAAACTTAACTAATTTTTAATAAACTAAGTTTATTTTGTACTACGTTATTAAGTTTAAAAAACTCGTAATATAACTCGATTTTATTAAAAAAACCTATATCTTTTTGTTTTATTAAGGATTAAAAAATAAAAATAAAAACGAACTTAGTAAAATAAAAATACTAATAAAATTCTTATAGTATATTAAGCTTATTATTAAGATCGATACTTAATTATATAAGTAATATAAAGAAAAAAGAGAAGTACGACGCCCTTAAGCTAATTTTAATAAAAAGTACTAAAACTATAGTAAATTACTAAGTAATTACTAAAATAACCTAAAAAACTAATAATAATAAAGCACGTTTTATAAGTAATACGGAGGACTTATAAACCTTAGTATTACTAAATATAAAAAACCGTAATAAAAAAAAGACTTTAAATATTATAACTATAATAAGCTAAGATATATAGTTAGAAATTACTAATAACCTAAGTATATTTAATACTAACCTATTTTAAAAAAACGAGCTAATATTATAAATAAAAAAGTACCCTATAAATAACTTTTATAAATAGCTTATTATAATAATAACTATTTTATTTATTAAAATAATAAAAAATAAATAGGATAGTACCCTAAGTAACCTAAGAATATAGGACGATCCGGATATAATACTATATTATTTATTAAAACTTTAGTAATAGTAATAAAAAAAAAAGGATATTTACTTACCGACCCTATACTTTTAAAAAAAATAATACTAAATATATTATTATACTCTTTTAAATTTATAAAAATATAAAAAAAAAAGCTAAAATAGACCCCGTTATAAAAAATATATTTTACTTTTTTAAAAAACGAATTAAATAAAAACTCCTAGTTAATATAAAAGAGTAGCTTTTTAAACTTAAAAAAAGAGGACTTAATATAAAAAGAATTATAAATAGCCTCGTTTATATAATATAACGAAACTATATAAACTAAAAATAATTTACTAAGTCTAAAACAAAACTCGATTTAAATAAAACCCTAACTAAATCTATTTATATAATATAAAAAGTAAATAGTAATAAAAGATTTATTTATAAAATTAAGGAATAGTTTAAAAACTTCTTATATAAAAATAAGATTAAAATAATTAAAAAACCGACTTTTAACTTCGGAATTATAAAAAAAAAAAAAGATTAATTTTAATTTTAAAAAAAAAAATATTAAAATAGGAACTAGCTCTTTTTATTTTAATAAAATAGAATTACTTTATAATTCGGACGAACTTCGTAATATCGCCCGATAACGTACTTAAATAGAAATTAATTATAAAATATTACTTAGCGTTAATAATACTAGTTTTAAAAAAAATAATAATAAACTATAATACGAATATATTTATTTATTTAAAAATAACTAAACTATTTAGTTTTATAAAATTAAAGAACGTAAAAAAGTTATAATAACCCCCTATATAGATAAAAACTATTTTTTATTTAACCCCGAAAACTCTTTTTATAAAGAATTATTTTAAATAGAGTATTTAAATAATAAATACCTCTTATACTTCGTATATAAATAAAATAGCTATTTTTATTTATAAAAACGTAATAATAAACTTATTAGGGATATTTATATAGAGGACTAGCTACTTAGTTAAATATTACTAAACTTTAATAATAATAATAAAATAATATTTAATCTAAACCCTAACTTCTTTATAAAGTACTTTAATAGCGAATATATAAAATAAAAAAATTATAAATATAACTAATACTAAATCTATTATATTAAAAAAGCTAAAGTATAAAGAGAATAATAAGAACTATGCGAGTAAAGTACTTAATAAAAAAAGTGTATATTAAAAAATTAAAAAGGCTAATTATAAAAGAATAATAAGAAATAAAAATAAAAAAAAAGTTCTTATATATAACTAAATAACGTAATAATATATACTTACGAGTTAAATTTAATATTTATAAACGAGGATTAAATATTATTATTAATAGTAGCGTATAAGAAACTTATATTTTATTAAAAATAATAAATAAACTTAATTTATTATAAATATAAAAAGATAACTCGTATCGACTATAAATAATAAAAAAAGAACGAGTTAATTATAATTATAAATATATAAATTAAAAAACCGTATACTTCTTAATATATATTAATAATTAATTAAAATAACTATAGTATAATATTATAGAAATTAGAAATATTAACGTTATTTTAAAAATCTTATAGTTACGAAAGTATAACTTATAGATAAATTAAATTACTAGCTAAGTTCTCTAAGAAAATTTAGTTACTAAATAACTTAAAAAAAAAAAGGTTTAAATAGGTTTTTAATAACTTTTAAAAAACGAGAATAAATATAATATATAGTTTTTATTAAAATAATAAAAAGCTTTAAGAAGTTCGTACGTAGTAATAACGATTAAGGATTATAATAACTCTAAACTATATTTAAAAAGTACTAAATATATATAAAACTATTTATAAAACTTAAAGAAATAGGATTACTAAAATATAATAATTAGGATATAAAAATCGAACTTAAAAAAGGAATATAGCCTAGGTTCTATTTAATATACTTAATAAATTAAGGAGAATAAGAGTATTTTAATAAATATATTAATAAAAAACTTAAGAAAGGATATATTTAATTATCGAATTCTTTTATAAAATTCCCCTTATTTTTTATACTAAAAAAGGGTAAAAAATTAAAACTTATTATTAACTATAAAAAACTAAACAAAATTACGAAAAAAAATTACTATCCCTTATTATTTATTACTAAGCTTAGAGATCTATTTTATAAAGTTAATTAGTTTATTATTATAGACTTTAAAAAAGTATTTAACTAGATTTAAATTTAAAAAAAGAGATAAATAAAAAACGGTATTCTAAATTTATAGAGGACTCTTTAAATACCTCGTTATACCTTTCGGACTTATTAATACTTTAATAACTTTTTAAATAATAGTTAACTACGTACTCTAAGAGTATGTTAATATTTTTATTATTATTTATATTAATAATATTTTTATTTTCTTCCCTAACTTTAAAATATATAAAAAGTATATTTATATAGTATTTTAAAAGCTCTAAAATATTAAGTTATATACTAAACTTTTTGAATATAAGTTCTATATATAAAAAATAGATTTCTTAAAATATACTATTATACTAAGATAAATTTATATATAAGTATTAAAAATAAAAATAATTAAGGACTAGTTTATATTATAAAACGTTAAGGACGTATAAGGATTTTTAAAATTTATTAATTTTTATTAATAATTCCTTAAGGACTATATTAATATAATTAGACCTCTTAATAACTTAATATAAAAGGATACCCTATTTATTTAAAATTTTAAGTATAAAAAAGTATTTATTAAAATTAAAAATATAGTCGTTTCCGAACTAGTTATTATAATCCTAGATCCCTAAAAGCCTTTTAAAATCGAAACTAATACTTTAAACTTTATTATAAGAGCGGTCCTAGGATAACGAAATAAATAAAAAAAGCTTTACTTATATTACTTCTATTCTAAAGTATTTTATAAAGTAAAATTACATTAGTAAATCTATAATAAAGAACTAATAATAATTATTAAAGTATTTTAAGAATAGAGATTATAATTATTTAGAACTAAATACGAAGTTATAGTTTATATAAACTATAAGAACCTTATAAACTTTATAATAAATAAGAATTTAAATAAATAATAAATTAAATAGAGCGAATTCTTATTTAAATATAATTTTTAAATTATTTATTAAAAAAGTTTAGAGAATAGTAAAATAAACGCTCTTAGTAAAAGACCTAATTATAAAATCGCGGTCCCTAAAGAGATATAAGTTATTCTTAAATAAAAAAAAGATAATAGTTTTATATTAATTATAAAACTTCTTATAATAATTAAAAAGATTAATATTAGCCTAATTAAAAAAATAACCCCTAAGCTTATTATAGAAATTTATAATATACTAATATACGGTTACTAAAGAATTATTAAAACGTAAAAACGGATTCGCTAATATTATAATAAATTTATTATATATATTAAAATTATAAAAATAATTAAGGACTGCGTAACTTATAAAAAAAATAAAAATAGCTTATATAAGCCCTATAGCGAGCTATAATTATTATAATTATTAATAAAAGTATAGTATTTAATTATATAGGATTTTATTATTAAACTACTAAAGTCTAAAGAACTATTTATTAAAGTATAGTATAATAGTATTTTAATTATAGTCGACCGACTTACTAAGTTTGTATATTTTATTCTTTATAAGGAATTAAGTACTATAGAAGACTCAGTATATATATTTATTAAAATTATACTTTTAAACTACGGTTTATTAAAAAAAATTATTTTTAATAGGGATAAGCTATTTATTTTAAAATTTTAGAAATCTCTAATTTCGTAACTTAGTATAAACTATAAATTATTAATATTATTTTATTTATAAACCGATAGATAAATAAAAAGGATTAACTAGATCTTTAAAATATACCTCTATTATTATATAAATTATAACTAGAATAATTAGGTAGCACTTCTATTAATAGCCCAGTTTATATATAATAATATAATTAGTAAAAGTATAAGAGAATCCCTATTTTATTTTAATTACGGATTTTAGTTAATAATATATAAAGAAGTATAATAAAAACTATAAGCTATAAAAGCTATAATAAATATAAGTAAATTTAAAAAAATCTATAAATAAATATTAATAAACCTTAAATTCGTATAATAGTATATAAAAAAAAATATAAATAAATTAAAGATTAGAGGACTATTTTTAAAAAAGGGGGATAGTACCTATTTTTTTTATTATAATATTAAAATAAAAAAACTAAATAATAAATTAGATTATAAAAAGCTTAGATTTTTTAAAATTATTAAAAAAGTTTTATTAATTAATTATGAATTAAAATTATTAAATATAATATAATACTACCCCGTTTTTTATATCTTATTACTCGAGCTTATACTAAGAAGTTTATATATAAAAATTTATATTATTATTAAACTAAACTAATTAAAATATAAAGTTAAACGAATTATTAACTATAAAATAAAGGATAATAAAAAAAATATTTTATTAAATAAAAAAACTATAGATATAAAGAAAATATATAAGAACTTATTATAAACTTTTAGAACTCTTAATAACTTCTTAAGGAGTATTAAAATTAAAATTAAATTTAAAACTCCTAGTTATTATAGTATCTTAATTAATAATTTTAAAAATATTATTAGCTTATACTTTACGGGCTACTAAAGAAGTATTTTTAGAACTTTTAGAAAACTCCTTTAATATAATCTAACTCTTTTTAAATATTATTCGCTTTTAAAAATAAAGACGCTCTAATTTAAATAACGACTTATTTAACTTAGCTTAAGCTTATTAATAAGCCTTAGCTTTTTTTTATAACTCTATAGCTCTTTTTTAAAACTATAACTCTTTTACTTTTTTTTTATAATTAAAACGATTAAACTTTATTACTAACTAACTAATTATATTTAATTAGCTAAGACCTTAACGAATAAAAATATAATATTTATAAATATAAATAGCGTTAATAAAAGTATTATATAAAATACTTAAATAATAGTATATTTTATAAACCTTAAAATTAAAAAAAACTAAATAATAAACCCCTCGTGAGTAATAATTTAAATAAGGTATTATTTTTATATTTTTATTAGAAAAACGAATAATATATAATAATTTACGACGAGACATAGCTATTAGAGATTTCGATTTTTTAATTTAACTTAATATTATATTAATATATTTTAAAAAAATACTTAACGATTCCCTAATTTAGGAATAGATGACTTATTTATAAGCTTAAAAAATTAGACTTTTAAAAAGAGAAGCTAATATTACGACTTAATACGTATAATAAGGCTAGGGCCTCGCCCTATAAAACTTATAATAATTATTATATTATATATATAAAAATATAAACTTAGGGTAACTCCTCTTAGGATAAAAAAACTATAAATAAGTTACGTAATTATAATTATATAATAAAATAAAGAACGGATATTTATAAATAAGTAGGACGAACGATTATAAATAAGTAAAACGGATAACTATTTAGTAAATAGTTAAATAATAATAAATAAGAATATTATAAAGGATATATTTAAAAACGAGACTTATATATAATATAAACTTAAACTAAGCTTAAGAATAGATTTTTTATAACTTTTTTAATAATTAACTTAATATTAAATCTTACGATCGCTTTTAATTATTTTTATTAAGAACTTTTCTAAAAAAACTATAATTAATTACTAAAACCTTACTTACTTTATAACTTATAAATATAGTTTTAAAAAAGCTATTTATAACTACGATACTATTTACTTAGTACTTATAGCCTTAACTTTTACTAATATACTTATTACGACTAGCTAGTTATAATAACTATAAGTTAATAAAAAGATTAATTAAACTATATAAATTTTTATATAAGTATAAAAAAGAGGTTCTAATTATAAGTTAGGCTAGCTACGATAATTATAAATAAGGCCCCTAATTAGCCCCTGCGTAGTTAGCTATATACCGCAATCGAATTAGACTTCTAATTTAATAATAATCTTATTAATAAGGTATTACAAACCTCGTAGCTAGAGGAAATATTAACCGCGCCCTAAACTACTCGATATTAAATATTAGCGAGCCCCCCGATCGGGGTAGTTCGCTGAGGCAGATCATCAGGCTAGGTCAACCATCTCTAAAAAGACTTCTAAGACCGCAACTCCACAACGCCAAGTTGAGTAGTCTTCTTGATAAGACCAAGCCTCAAAATCATAAGTCCATGAATGAAGTAGATTTAATTGAGTCTTTAAAGACTGCTCAACACGTTAGGGATTTAGAATTAGAGACGTCATCACTGTCGGCAACTGGTGGCCCACTTGGAACTGCCAACGTAAACCGACCTGCCTGGGCGCTCGACTTGGCAAAGAACCCATCACTGCGCAATGAATTCGAGCAGCTGGAGGTAGCTGTCAACGAGTACAATACCGTAGCCTCACATCACAAAGGCGAAATTGTGGTCAAGCAGGGCTGCGAGTTGAAGGATGTGCTCGCTCAGGCAAAAGCCTTGCAGGAGGCTGATTCTCCGAATGAAGGAGACAGGAGTCTCGGCAATAGCATCCAAGCCGGTTTACAGCAGTTTTGCAAATCGAGTCTTCATTATGCCGCAATCATGGATACACTAGCACAGCACCACCCCGAATGGGTCAGCCTAGCTTGGGGAACCATCAAGCTGCTGTTAATGGTCCCAATCGAGTAACAAAAGGTGAAAGAAGGCATTGTTACCAACCTTGGACGAATAGGGGCCAAGCTTGAGCTTGTGAGCCTTCTTTTGTCTTTTTATCCTTTTGAAAGGATGGCGGATGCGGCATCGGCTATTTACATTTCCATCGCGGAGTTCCTTGGATTTTGTCTCAGATATCTGCGGAGAAACTGCTTAAGTATGGGAATTTCTCACCTAAAACACGGTACTCTTCAACATGCTAACTATTAGAATGCTGTTGCTCACAACTAGTCAAAACATTGAAAACAATCATCACGCCTTTCGAAACTAGGCTTGGTCCAATTCTCAAGACCATTGACGACAATTACGCCATCTTGAGACAGGAAGCTGAGGTCCAGTTCATGATCTACCAATTTGAGAAGCAGAGCAGTCTGCTTGGGGACCTCGCTGAGGTCAAAGAAGGCCATGCACGAATTATTGGCGTACTAGAAGGTGGACCCCTGAGAACCCGTCCAAGATACTTTTCAATGCTAACATAACGAACAAAGAGATCATACATAGGGATGAAATAAGTCGAAAGCAAAGAGCTCGAGCAATTGAAGGTGAGCGCGGAAATCAAAACATGGAGCTTAGAGTTCTCATTTAATGGTCTAGCATCTCAAAGTCTTGACCGAGCACTTCTCAAACCGCCTAGACTGGAAATACGCGAAGACTTCTTTCAAGACCTACTTCCCCTAGAGAACAGTTTTCTACAGGTTCAGCTTGAGATAGATCTACTCCCATTGTCTTACCTATCGGAGAGTGTCAATGTCTTGCGTCTCTCTTCGTTCCACTCGTGGCTGAGCAGCAAAGACTCTGGCCTTCTGTGGGTGGATGGATACGAGATTCCCCGCTGCCCTAGCTGGACTACAGACCTGTCTCTCAAGATTGTGCGAGCAGCTACAGAGAGCAGCTACAGAGAGCGGCTACAACGCACTTTCGTATTTCGGAAGTCTCAATCGTGGGAGAAACGACGTCACACCAAAATCGCGCGTTCTCGTGCAAAGTCTCCTATTTAGCATGCTACAGAGGTTCCCAGCAGTAACTTCACATGGTGACCCGGAGCTCTTTAATGCCGAGATTTTCGTTGCCGCTAAGACAGACCTGGATCTCTCATGGAGGATCTTCGTAGAATGCCTGCGCGTTCTTCCATCTCCGATGGTTTACATCGTGATAGAGGGGGTCGACCACGTCGATGTGACAAAGGACCAAATTGCTGACTTCGAATCTTTTCTGAGTCGCCTAGGCAGCATTTCAGCTGATCTTTTGGACGAGAAGGTGATTAAAGTCGCCTTGACTTCTGTTCGACCAAATGCGGGATTCCAGCACTTGTTTCCTAGCCGTGATAGACTAGAGGTTGTCCACGAGCATAAGCTTCTCATTCGAGTACCGGCGGCGGCAGCACGAAGACGCAAACCTCGATCGAAAATGCAGAAAAAGAATTCACTCAATCTCTTTTCTCCAGGCCTTACAGTAGAGCCAGGACCGAGGGATACAGGTAGCGACTTTGCCCCTTCAGACTCTGGCGGAGAGAGCGACGGCGACGCAAGCGATTCAAGCTTCGACTTCGATATCTATGGGAAAGGCAAGGAGAAGATAGACCATGCAAGATACCCCTGGTCAAACTTGACTCCTGAAAACAGTCGAGCGAGTCCTGTGCAGCTTGGATCTGGGGAAAGGTTGGAAACGACTAAAGGGCAAGATGCCGAGAACTCTGACAGCTCATTCGACATATATGAGAAGACTACTACCGAGTTGCCCCAAGAAAAACCAGTCAGCGAAGAAGACCTATCAGATTTTGCACCATGAAAGGAAGAGCGGTGTCGATGGAAAAGCTATTTAGATAGGGCATTCCGCTGTAGTTAATATTTCATCGAGCCTGATCGTACATTCTTCAAAGTAATTCGGACAAATTTGGTCAGGAACAACTCTTATAGATAGAACGAAACCGTCTTTAGATCCGAGCCACGAATAGTACAGAAAGTTGTTGGATCTGTCATGGCTTCTTACAAATCATTTCTGAGTCCGAGTGACCTGCACCGAGACTTGAAGGTTCATGTGTGGGAAACGAAAGCGAGTTCGTTTTCCATTTGACATGCAATGATGAAGCACACTGCACTCCATGATCATGTGAGTAATCGCCATTCCCGAGATCAGTCTCGAACCCGAGACACTGACGCCGGCCACTTTTGATCAAGAATCGGCAGACTTACACCGAAGGAGATCTCCGAAAATCACCTCATCGAGCGCGGCACGGCCTGTGGGTTGCTGCGGCTGGCCAATGACCAGGATGACCCGAGTTCGACATATTGACGCACCCATCTTGCCGGATTTCCGACCACGCGTCACGCCGGAAGCAGTAAGTTGCCTGACAAATAAGAAGGTTTGGTTTGATCTACGAGTAAACTTCGACTCAATTCTCCCCGCGTCGATGCCTTCACCAAATTGAGCGCCTTGCAGAATGACAGATGCGGAAAGCAGGCTGTGCAATCTTCGCACCTTGATGAGACCGTTGACGTGTGGCCTGTTCGTCATCTCCGAAAGACAAGGACTGCTTCTACTTTTCACTTGGGGAGTCTCACGACGAGCATTAACTAGTGCCGGGTATGCCCTCAAGCTTAAACGCGCATATTCAAGACGGACACTGTCTAGCGAAAACTCCGATTTTCCAGCTGCTAGACCCATGCTGACCGATTGTATCAACGGACGTCAGCTTGGGCAGACCATCCCTTAGTGTAATTCAATCGAGTAATGTGAGAGCAATGCATTATGATATGTGAGTTGTTATAGTGATGACCGCCCAGAAACTGATCGACGAACGACCTGGACGGGTACAACATTGACGAGTCCTTGGCGAGGCCCGTCTTAGCGAAATTGTTGGGACGACGACGATCTTGTGGAAAATTATCCGAAGACACAATCTTCAGACGATTGCCAGCAAATTTGATCCGTTCGGAAACCGCGTGGGACTCAATGTGGGATAGGTATTACAGTTCTCCCTTCCTGCCCCTTCATTACAATATGATGTGGAATGAGCGTCCCGGAGCCTTAATTCTCCAACATGGCTAAAACGACAATGAAGGGGAGGCTTAGCAGTTTTCGCACTAGTTGAGAGTTTCAAGCAACTTTTGAGACCCTGCTACTACGGTAGTGCCGCTCTTGATTCATGTCACCAGAGCTTAAACTCTCCCTTCCCTCCACTTCCGGCAGGGGACAAACGCGAGGCGGAGAAAAGATGGAGGCCGGCCGAGGAGACCGCGGGCAGCGTGTTTACAAGCCTCGTGCTTCCATATTACGGATAACGGAAACGGCATCTTTTGCCTTGCTCCTCAGCACATGCAGGGTCCGTCCCAGTTTTGAGATCAGCCCACCAGCGAACCTGAGACTCGGCGAACTTTGTTTTCCTCGTTGGGCTGGCTTGATTCCAGCCCTTTGGCAACCTCTCTGCACGCACGCTCTGATTCTGGATTGACTCTGGGAAATGTAATCACCACGTGTGGACATGTAGTGATTATCGGCTGCCTTTCTAAGAATCGGACGCCGCCAAGGTACCGAAGGGGACGGAGCGTAATATCTTCAGCTTACTTTCGAACTCATCAAAGAAGTTCAGTTTTCTGAACCAAATGAAGAATTGTGATTCATGTTTCCCTTTGCTTCTTTGTGTCCTGTTGAGCAAGTCCACGCGAAACAACTACTGAATGACGAGGCCGACATGTCTTGGCGTCTTGACTGATCTTGCCAAGCCACCAAACATGTTGCCTCGAAATCGGGTCCGGTTGCTCAAGCGATTGGCAGATTGTTTATAGAAGCAATTGAAACCTGCTCATTCGGCAGGGCGATATATCGGACTCCGAAGCACCAGCCAGACGAGTCATCGACGCAAGAAGAAGGCGAGTGACCACTATGCGAAATGATCAGACTTGTAGCAGATGATCTGAAGGCCTCTAAAATTCGGCAAAAGATGAAGTAGACCTGACACTCAAGTGAACAAAAGGATGGAAGTTAGGAGGAGTAATGCTAGGTCCAGACCGAGGGAACAGAGCCGAGGGTTGGATGAATTTGGTGTGAACACTCGTTCTCGCCAAGAATTGTGACTGGCGCTTGTGGTAGAACGCTTCCAACAACTGGATGGAGATCTTCAGCCGTCTGTCGGTGCCAGTGATCCATGAACCAGCTTCAAGAAGAAGCACTCAAGAAGCTCGCGCGATGGGAACGATTCTGGTTGGTGTCTTGACGCATTGAGCAGAAAATCCGTAGACAGAGCAGCCCCAAGGCGAGCGAGGTGAAACGCGATGTGCGGCGATCCCAGCCAGCGACTGGCTCAAAAGATCAGCCCAAAACACTTGCGGGTAAACCTTCTTCTCCTTCGAATCCACCCCAAAGCTTGTCTCTCTCGGTTCAGACATCAGACGGGCCGGGCGATGCGCGCGGGGTGACCGTTGTGGACACCCACATTGTGAATTGAAGCTTCACCCGAGAGCGAAACGACCCCTGAAAGCATCGCGATGACTGGGACTGAGTTGCTTCCCATCGTGCGGCGGACAGGGTCTTCGGCGTACTCGGACGAAGTATGTTCGCCTAATCGTTTGAGATGACGACGCGATGGAAACTGGGTGTAAGTGGCCGTGTCCGAATTTTGCTCGGAAGGTTGGGCTATATAATTCAATCAAAGAAACTCTCACTTCTGGCTTTGGGATCATCAACTCAGTCTCTTTCCAGTTCATCAAGTCTTACTACTAAAGGCTCTTCACCCTCTACATTCTTTACATCATATCACGCCTATCACTTAGATCACTAAACACTATTATTCAAGATGCGTTACACTCAGCTTCTCCTCTCTCTCTTCCTTCTCTTCACTTTCGTCATTGCTCTGCCCGCGCCGGCGCCGGTAGAAGCCGTCGCTGCGCAAGACGCCGCCGACAAGAACAAGAATAAGAATAATAACAACAACGGAAATAAGGGCACTAAGACGAAGACCAACAACAACGGCAACACCAACAAGGGTCAGACCACCAAGGCCACGAAGAACGGAACCGGAGGAAACACCAGGCCTACCGCTGACGAGTGCGCTGCTGCCAAGAAGCTGGCTACTGGTATCGACAAGAACATCTCCATCCAGAAGCAAGAGCAGAAGGATGTCGCTGCTGTGAAGAAGGCTGTTCAGTCTGGGAACAAGGGTCAGTTCGACCAGGCTAAGACCAAGCTCGTCGCTACTGTCAAGTCTGGAGCGGATGTCCGCGCCGAGAACCAGAAGATCGCTCCCAAGGGTAACGCCGCAATTCCGGGTCTGAAGAAGGTACGTTCGGACTTTTACCCCACAAAGTGAAGCGGTAAAAAACAGCAATCTGACAAGTCATTATAGGTCCAAAACGCACAGGCTACCGAGTTGAAGCAGGCTCAGGGTCTCACGGGCAACAACGCTGATCTGGATACCATCGCCCAGATGGAGAAGGAATTCTCTGGGGGTATCGACCAGAACCAGCAGAACAAGAAGGATGCTCTTAAGGGTTGCTAAGCATCTCGAGACTGGATGTGCTTGAGGACCGAAGGATAGGCTGCACGTCACTGAGCAGACTGAGGTTGGGAGCAATGGATAGCGTTGTATATGAAGGATTCTCAGTAAATATATAGTGAATGAAGCCAGTTCGGTACACTTTGACTTTTTAGTGATGGATTCACTCCGAATTCGAAACATTCGAGTGCTTCGATACTTCTGTTCTAGTACGGTGGTATCATTCTCCTGCAATCACCTTGAGCGTGACCTGATGCCGACTCATGCCAATCGCTCAGGGGCATCAATACTTGGAAATTTGGAGACTGTTAGCTTGAGGCTGTTAGTCAATGTGATATAGGTTAGTATCATTGTACGAAGGCCAAAAGGCTTTAACAGGTTGCCCTCTCTTCGAGGTGTTTAAGATCATGATACTTGTCAAGTTGTATGAGATGTTACTAGCGGCTGTGCCGCTGTAATCGACGAAAGAATAACCTTCGGTGATTGCATAGCTTTTGACGGAGTTCTTCCAAATTTCTCATTACATGTTTGACTTCTCTCTGTCTCTGCTTAGCGTTGTTCAGAAGGAAGTTGATGCTGCGGTGCAGAGGCACATCTTCGAACAAAGTGGAGGCGATGCTGGATACTGTTGTATCTCTTCAGGGTAACATAAATCAAATTTGATGCAGCCGTGGCCTCTAGGATTATTGAACACAGTCAAATTCCGGAGCATAACTCTTAAATAACGCCGCTTCTTGAACGAGAAGACCGAGTTGCTGAGACGCTCACTAGCATCGAAGCAGAAGCTGCAGCATTAGGTGCACCTATTGGTGCGATTCTTCAAGCTTCTACGGCCAAGATTAGCTGCTGGTAGGTTGTCTACTACAGCATGATAATGTACACAACATATGGATAATGGTTTGTTACAGATGAAGACTCGAAAGCTTCTTCGAGAGCCCCTTTCGGAGAGGGAATCCGCCATAGCAAAAGTTGACGCTTTGAAGCAGCCTTACTTCGGTGACACTCAACGTTAAACGGAGTTTTCTGGCAAGATACTAGAAACGAAAATCCAGTCTATCATGCTCAAAAACGAGGATGTAAGCTTTCTCCCATCGTGAAGAAGCTCTGTGTCTGATCTCAGAACTTATTGTAAGGTGAGTGCTCATCTCGGACTTGGTGAATCCACAACATGATAGAACGGATATTCATTCGTCATAGGAGATTATCAAGCTAGTTATCTAGATTGGCAAGGGGCACGCATTTTGAAGTTTGATCACTGATCGGCATTTCATGAATGTATCTCATTGCACGTCGAAAC